TGTAGAAAACATCGACATCGATTTTTGCTCAGATTTAAAACAATAATATGGCTCATTATAAATCACATATTAATAGAATCTCCTCCCACACTTGTGTATTTTTTCCACTAAAATGCAGCCAAATACCCACGTTGTTCTCAACACTGTGAAAGTTCTTTGCCCCCAATATCTGGAAAGAACTGCTTTCAGCTTATTTTAGAGACGGAAAGATAAGAGAGGGAGAGAGGGAGAAAGGCAGGCCAGGGGGCCTTCATTGGAGTCTCGGGTCTACAAAGACAGCTGGAACCTTTTGAGGTATTATGATGATCCATAATTTACACTGTGGTCTTTGGAAAGTACAGTCATCTAAGTATTCTTTTTTAAAAGTACACTTTATATGATAAATCTGACAAAAACAACAATCTAGTGCAATATTATTTCCGTGCCTCTGTTTACCCCTGTTCAAGGCCATATAATCTAGTCGGGCAATTACACAGCCACATGGGCACTAGACAGGTTGAATGTCAGCATTGCTGTGTAACTAAAACCTAGGTCATTACTCTACAGGTCACTGTGATAAAGCGGAGTAGCTCTAATTAAGGAATCTCATCTCCTCTACCATGTTAGAATCCAGCTGCTAGGGGTTGGGATGTAGCGCAGTGGAACAGCACCTGTCTCACAAGCACAGGGCCCTGGGTTCAGTTCCCAGCACCACTACACACGCAGGCACACACACAACTGTGTCACATCACAGTGTCCTCTTAAGGAAAATCCAACCAGTGCTTTGTTTCTAATTAAGAATTATTTGCTAGTACTGCCCAGATGGCAGGCTTTAGAAAGAGGTCTGCAGGCAACATTGTTAACAGTGTAGTATTGTGCACTTCCAAGTGTACTGAAAAGGCAGAGCTCACGTTAAGTATTCTTACTGCAATAAAAAAAAAAAAAAAGAAGCCTGAGTTTGCTCTATGCTTTCAGCATACGGGCTTTTAAATGCATTAGCCCAATCACTGAGCATAATCAATAATGCTGAAACTTTCCATTCAGAGGAGTCCTTCTCAGCTAATGGGTTTCGTCTTCTGTTTGGTGTCATCCATGCCTCTGTGGAAAACTTTGATTCCTTTCACACATCGGTTCTAAACCCTGCCTGACATCCAAGGCTGTCTGGGGTCCGAGCTCTACTTCACGTGAGACACTTCCCCCCTGCATGGCCACCCCAGACACCTTCCCTCCACCCATTACCTTCCCTGCTGCCCAGCACCGCCCACACTGCCCGAGCCCAGCTGCAGCAGCGAATGTCCAGTGCAGCTGGAGCTACAACCTCCCCTGGCCACTTAGGCCTGCGCTCCAGGCCTCCTGACAGGCCCTGCCCGTACAGTACTTCCTTAAGGAAGACCTTGTCCTGGACCTGACTCCCCCAAGGTCTTATCCAGGGGAGCCTCATCTTAAGCATCCTCTGCCACCATAATGACCACTGTTCCCTCTCTTCATCTTCTGCTGTGCTTAAGACAGGCAAGGACAATGACCAAAGCCTGCAAAGCACTGCACAGGGAAGTGACATGCAACTAGATCACTAATTTCAGCCACCCTTTGAGAACTGGCTCCAGGGCCGCAGCTCCGCAAAGGGTATCCTCGCTCTCCCAATCCCATTTGTGCTAACCTTCCAGCTGCCCCCTGCAGCAGGGGCCCTGTCTCGCTCATCTGTGGCTCTGCTTGGTATCTGACACACGGTACAACTTTAGTAGGTGTGTGCTGGGTGATGTGCCAGGCTCCAGGGTTTCCCTCTCCTCAGACTTTCAAGAAATAAAGGGCTAGAATCCGGTGGAGGATCCTCTAGAGCACCCATGCTCCAGGAGAGTAATTCACCTTCCTCAGACACAAACCAACCGCATCATAAAACCCAGCCTTAATCTCATCTGCCAGCCCTGACAGCTTTCCTTGTAAGACTCACCTCCAGGCCCTACAGCCTCCCTTTCATTGAGCAGCAGAGGACTCTGCAACTCCTAACTCCGCAAGCAGAATGCTGACATCCAACAACTGATGGCAGGACTGCCCAAGCCCAGGAGTGGCATATCACCCCGGACAACACAGCAAGAGATTACTGAGGGGATTTAATGAGATAATGTATGCAAAGCACTGTGCACAATTACTAGTATGTGCTAACCACTCAGAAAGTATCTGCTGCACCAGTGAAACAGCAGCAGAGCCCGCAGTAGTGCAAACAGGCCCACGGCACACCAGACAGCTCGAGCAAGCAACATCAGAAACTCAGGTTTAGAAATCTTGCTTATTAATGCCTGTTAAATAACTACAGTGCCACATCAAGGGTCACCTTTCCCTTAAAAGTAAGATGCTGAATGAACAAATGAGTCCCAGTGCCTCTCCCCAAAGGGACAGACCCACATCTCCAGGGTGTCCTGGTCTGTGGGCTGCATTCGGCTTTGTTCCTGGCCCCAGTCTCAAGACAGCTGTGTCAAACACTGTGATAATATATGCAAAGCATACATTGTCTCACTAAGGCCTGTTGCTGACAGTCCCTTTCTCTGGCCCTTTGTTCATTTGGTGAGCAGACATTTACCCAGCGCTCAACACTGCATGGCTCAGAAGCTAAATCAGATGAGCTCTCGGCCTCTGGAACCTGCAGGCCCCAGCCTCTGGTTCTCTTTCTTCATCAGGGTCTGCCTCTTTGGGCCTTTCTCCTTTCCAAGGAACCTAAAGATGACTCTCGTTATCAGCAAGCATGGCAGGGGAACCAGAGCTGGCTGACAGGCTAACAATCCTGGCTCTGCCACTTTCTTATTAACTAACTGGGCAAATTTCTTCCCCCTCTGCTTCACTTACTTGCCTTTAGGATGAGGATGATACCTCCCAGTCAGACTTTCTGTCAGTACGAAAAACAAATGAGTTGTGCTTGGCACCTAGGTACAGTGGTTCACTAACACCATCTAACAATTTACCAACACATCCACTCTCAAGTCCAGAGTGTCGTTTAACCATGAATGCAGTGAAGACCCTAAGAACTAAAGAACTAAAAGGTTCTGCACCGTCACTGTGTCAAGTCTCTTCCTTTGTGGGCATATGCCAAGCCATCTGCAATCTACACCTTCCTAGGAAGAAGCCCTCGCACTGGGCAGGGCCCACTGCTCCAGCTCTAGCCCTGTTCCTGCCCTACCACGGGCAGGAGCAGAGCAAAGCCACACCTGGTGATAAGTGCTGTCTGGTAACTCAGATTCAAAGGGGGTTTCCACAAGGAGCACCCCAACAGCAGGGTCAGGGGTGCTGAGGCTACCCTGAGCAGGACAGGGACAGCTGCAGAGCCTGGCCACAGAGCCCAGTAAGGCGGCCTGAGTCCGGCATTGAACTTAGAGCAAGTTGCACCCTAAGGTGATGAAATCAGGGGCTGGAGTGTGGGAGATGGACAACCAGCGACATCAGAGGGCCCAGAAAGTGTCACCACGGTCCTGGGTGGTCAGTCAGTGCCCTTTGTGGCACAGGCTCTGGAGAAAGGCCCAGTTCTCTGGAGAGGCAGCTGGGCATAGAGCAAGAAAATTGGGTTCAGGATTGTTCAGTGGAGAAGTGTGGTGGGAAGCAGGTAAATGAAAACAAAAATGCATTCAAATTCGCTGAGCTAACATGGCAGGTGAGTGGGTGCCAGAGCCCCAGGGGGCAAAGGCACAGAGAGATCCTCATTCCCAGGCTCTTCCTGGTGACCCAGAATGAAATCCACCAGCAATGAGACCTAATTCCCAGCCCCTTCAAGAGCAGTGAAGAAGACCTTCCACTCTCCTTCCAAGCCCAATGCATCCGCTGAGCCAGAGGTGAGCACTTACACACAGCAACAGCAGGGAGACTGAGACAGCAGGGCCTGAGGCAAAGCAAGGCCCGGCCACAGCAGAGGATGGACAGTGTCCAGTGCAGGATCCAGCCCAAATCCTCAGAGCTTCAAATGACATGAGGCACCGGTTTCTCAGGGACGTGGGGTAACATGGGGGCAGAGCTGTGCTGAGGACCGTCTTCCCGGAGCAAGGAATTTACAGCAGCTGACCTTTTGCATATGTTTTCTGCATCTATCATGCTTTCACTCAGCCATCACATGCAGAAGACAAATGCCAAAGGCCTCCAGAGGACTGGCCGCTTGATAATGACCTCAAGATTCACAGGACTCTTTTTGGCCTAGCACATCTATCCCCCCCGCTCTGACCTTCCTCTCCCCAAGCCCAGAACAGAACCAGATCCCAGCCCACACACCTTCCTCTGTCCCCACTTGGCCAGGATCCCAGCCCTCAACTCCAGAAAACATAACAGAAGCAAAATGAATGAGAGCCGCAGAGCAGCTTCTTCCCAGATTCCAGGGACCGCTAGGCACAGCAATAAAACTTAGGTAGCCTCCATCTCTGCGCTTGACTCTTTAAAGTCCTAACAAAGTCATTAACTGCGTCCTTGCGTAAGTCCACTGCAATGTCTGAAGCTCAGTTTTCTCATCTGTAGTGTCAGGAAGCAAAACCAAGTGAGCTCCAAGGTCACCTCCAAGCCAGGACTCTACTTCCTGATTCAGGAGACCAAAGAAGTGCAACATCCGCCCAGCTCAGAGAATCAGGTCCCATTCTCTCCTCTGGGGAGGGGCCTCGGACGGGAAGAGCAGGAGCAGCCATAGGCACAGCCCCAGGCAAGGACGAGGAAGGACCATGCCCAGCACCAGGCACACAGCACCCTCCTGACTTTTGCAAGGGTTAAATTCCTGCACATGAAAACACACCTGGTGCCAAGAGCCCCCCTCCCGTCCCACCAGCTGAGACAGTTTCTGTTTCTTTATTTCCTTCCCTTTTGTTGCAGGGCAGGGCATTGAACCCAAGGCCTCGTACATTCCAAGTATGCTGTCTACCGTGGAGCAAGCGCTGGCCCTCTCGACAGTTTTCTCTACATGCACAAGTGAGGCCTGTCCGTCCCTGAACCTGTGCTGTCCAGGGTTTGTCCCTCCTCACTGCTGAGCCCCTCCCAGCTGCGCCCTCCCAGCTGCCTCTCACCTGGGGGTTGTCCATGTACCAGAGCAGGCAGTTGGCCTGGGTGTCCAGAATAAAGTATCTCCGCAGAAACTTGCCACTGTGCTCATTCTCCTCGATGTCCAGAAACCCACAGATTCGGTTCTGCCGATCCACATAAGGCATTCCTGGGCTCTGCTCACATCACCCTGCGTAGCAAGAAGGGTTGCTGGTGAGAAGGGGCACAGGGTGGCAGGCTGCCCAGGGCCCCCAGGAACCTCACTTTTGCCCAGCCTCACTCACCCATGAGACCCTCTCCTAGCTGCCACCCCAGCCAGACCCTGGAGACCTCATCAAAGCCATGATATGGACTCAGCCGCTTTCTGGGGCCAAGTATAGCCTCAGGCATTTTACTTAGGCCTAGACTTTCTTCCTTCAGGAGCCTGAGTTCGAATTCCCATTCTAGAAACCTACTAATTGTGTGACCCAAATTGTTTGACCGTTCTGTGGCTCATCTGTACAACAGGGAACATACTAACTCCTACCTCTTCCAAGACTACGGCCATGTGAGTCACACGGTAAACAGTCAGCAGTGGAAGTTATGACCACTACTCTGCACAAAGGCTTTGTGAAGTGGATCGCAGCTTATTTTACACATGAAGAAATGCTCTCAGGATGAATTTAAGCTCCATTTTAAACACCTGGAAAAAAACTTTTCCAGGAACTTGTTTGTTCAGCAAGGGCAGGCCCAGAGTTAAAAGTGAGGGGCTCCTCTGTCTGCCCTGATCATCCAGCGTGAGGGAAATGAACTGTGTCCTCTCAAGTGGACCTCTCAGTACCTCTATTGTGGCTCTGTCTGGAGATCAAATCTTTAAAGAGACAATTAGGTTCACAAGATGTCACAGAGTGGACCCAGTCCCCAGGACACGGTCTTAGGAGGAAATCTGGAGACCAGTGGCCTCAAAGGGAGATGACGCCATCTGCAAGCCAGGCAGAGGGCCTGGCGCCTGGCCTTGCCTCGTGGTCCTCAGGCGGCACCGACTGGGGCCATCCTAACCTCGGATTTCAGCCTGCAGAGCTGTGAGAAGATGCCTTTCTGCCTTTTAAGCCTCTCTCAGTCTGCAGTGCTGGGCCAGGCTGCCTGAGCAGACTCAGCTCTGCTGAGATGCCTTACCACTGAAAGAATGAGGAACCACAAGTTCCAGCCCTGAGCAGGAACTCTGGTGACAGGCGGCAAGCTGCACCTCCAAGCCCGCTGCCGCTCTCTTCGCTTTCCTGTTGACCTCTCTGAAGGGCCGGGAGCCCCAAGGAGAGAGGAATACCTTCCAACGGGCACAGCACCCCACCTACAAGCTCAGGGCAGAGGCAGACAGAGGCTCTTCAGAGTTACAAAGCACACAAGACACTCAGACTCTCGAGAACCCTCATCACAGAGCCCCCGCTGCTCCAACAGAGTAAAATGCCAGGGCCTTGGTCCACTGCCAAGTAGCTGTCTGAGTGCTGGCCAGGGCCATCCCCCTGTGACCTGTGGGTCAGCCAGCAAGCCCAGAGTCTGTCAGCCCTCGCCTTCCAGGCACCAACGAGCAAGCCCTGGAGCCAGGAGACAGTCTGGGGCAGGCGAGCCCTCAGAGGGAGACTGGTAGGTGATCTGCTCTTTTCACTTCCACAAGGGCTATGCAGTGGTGAGAAGCCGCACAAGAGAATAGTGAGGCACAGGCACACACAGGCACACGCACATACACACACACAAGTGACCCTCTCTGTGGCTAAATGCAGGTCAGAATCCCCAAGGGCACAAGGAGCACAGTGGAAAGTGTGGATAGGAGAGGACAGGGTCTGTGCAGAGTCAAGCCAGCCAGGAAGGACACAGAGCTTCAGGGCAGGATGACGAAAATCACTGATATGCTCCCTGCACACATGCATGCGTACACACACACACACCAGGCAGATCCCCTTGATGCCAACCTACAGGCACAGACAGAATGTCTCCAAGCTGCCCGGGTACTGGGTACCGCTACTCAAGCTAACACACACAGACTGCACAGCTGACCGTCTCTGGGCCCAGTGGAGAAGGCAGAGTCCAGCTTAATGCTGGCTTTCAAATTTCACCCTTTTCAGCCTGCAAGATTAATCAACACCTTTCTTTCTCAATCCAGAGGCATCAAGAAGGCATTCTTTTCAAAAGTCTCTGAAAGTCTATTTCGGTTGAGGGGAATTTCCATTCACACCAATCCATGAATAGAAACAGCCCCTCATGGACCAAGAGAAAAGAAAAGAAATAGAACTGTGGCTGCAGGATTGGAAGGGTGACTCCAAGTCACAGAGCTCATCCAGAACGTGGGGGCCGGCGGGTGGGTTGGCTGTAGGAGAACCAAGCATCCCGGAGGCGAGCACACAGAGAAGACGCACACAGCACCCCAAACACAGACCAGGAGCCAAGGCCTAAGTCCCTGGCAGTTTCTTCTGGCCTCCTTTGAATATCCTTTGTCATAACAGAGCCTGTTCTCTCAAGGTCCCCAAATCCCCTCTCCCTGTGTCTTCAACCACGTCATCATCATCTTGCATGTGTTTTCTGGATTTTCCTTGGTGAGAATTACTTCTGCTACCCTCCACAGCCACCACTAACAAGTGGGGAGCAAAGAGGATTTGGCAAGGGGTACCGAAGGGGCAAAGAATTTGGCACACAAACATACCCAGACCTCAGCATCTATGGATCCAACCAACCAGAAATAGAAAATTCTTTTTCACAAATTGTGTTTGTACCAACACGTATAGACTTTTTTCTTATTCTTCCCTAACAAAGACAGTATGATTTACAGAGGCTTTACCCTGCATGCAGTACTACAGGTAATCTAGAGTTGACTTAAAGGACCTTTGCCATGCATAGGTTATATGTAAATACTGTACCATTTTATAGAAGGGACTCGCATATCACAAGATTCTGATATCTGTGACCCCTGCAGATACCCAGGTCAACTCTACAGTCACCTAAAAATTCCCCTACCAGACCTAGGGAAAAATCTGGTCTTTAAAAATATCCTCCAAACTCTCACAACACTCCTCCTATTACAGTTTTAATCAGCTTTTGACTATCAAAAATCATTTACCTTAAATTAGTGCCTGGGGCCTCACACCTATTATGCAGGCCCTCTCTGTAGATCTCCAGCCCCAGACCTTAACTACATTTTAACCTGAGTTCCCACACAGCGTTGCATCCCGCTATCCCACCTCCCCGAAGGAAGCCCTGAGAGAGAGACTTGACAGTGTACCTCCCCACCCCAACCCTGTCTCTTGAGACAACACGGGAAATGTTTACCCTGGAGCAGAGCACCAGACATCTGTCTCTTGCTGGTCCAGTCACTTCCAGCCTGACCCAATGAACCCACCCAGCAAGTCGCTTTCTAGCCTTCACAACATCAGCTCACAAGAATACAGAGACACAGAAAAAAATCTCTGCCACTGCACTCGACCTCCTGCCTGTCCCAAGCAAGCAAAATCTCCCTAGTGTTTTCTGGTTTGGGTACAAAAACCATACCACAACAATGCTGGAATGTTTTTAGAGATCGCTCCAGCCAACAATTTTCACTTTTGCAAGCTTCTTCATGTCCTTATCCATATAAACTGGCCTTTCTCACATTTAAAATGATATCATGAACATTTTCCATATTGGTACACAGTGTTTATAATCATTGTTTTCCTTTTTGAGTGTATCTTTGCAATACTTAATAGGGATGTTGACTTTGGGAACTGGTGCACGCACATAAAACATCTTGATTATTTTTGATCCCATAATCATTATTTTTAATGGTTGGAAACATTATTGCATTGGCTTTAAGATAATTTAACCATTTGTCTGTGATCAGTCTGCTAGGCTATAGCCAATTTTTTGTTATAAATAATGTTTACATTTCATATCTGAGTGCCTTGTTTCTTCTTTTACATGGAGACAGTACAACTTCCAAGTAATGGTAGGATTAGGTCATAGGCTATGATATTTACTAATTGATGAGACCCATTACTTGCTAAAAACATTTTACCTCTTTATGTTGCAACAAGTAACATATTTACCATCACTGTACTCTTACATTCATTGAATATACTCACTATTTTAAACTTTGCTGTCTGAAATACACAATATCCACTGTGGCTGCACATTACTTCATGCTTGTTTTCTACTTCCCTCAGTTTTGATAAAAGCAAGTCAAGAGTATATGTGTACATAATCTCTGTCTGTCTGTCTGTCTGTCTGTCTGTCTCTCTCTCTCTCACACACACACACACACACACACACACACACACACACATTCACAGGCATGCATGCACCAAACCACTATATAGCCCCACATAATTACTAATATTTTAAAGAAAAGTAAATTAAAAAGAGAAAAATTCTGTATGATTCAGATTTCTTCAGTAGAATATAAATTCCTATGTGCTACAAACAAAAAAAAAAGCTAAATATTTAGTTGCATTTTTAAAAAAAAATTTAGTTTTGCTAAAAGTGAAACAAAAAAGTGAGTTTGCATGGTTGTCCATTAATCAACAGCAGCATGTGGGTTAAACGGGAATTAACTGGGATTCCTAGTTCATCTGCCAGAGACTGGACGGAACCCAGGAGCAGGGCTAAAAGCTGCCCACCATGGACAGAAAGATAGTGCTGGGGTGGAGGTGAGACTCTGCCCCAAAAACTTTTTCCAAGATCCCGTTCAATGCCTTAGGTTCCACCACCTGTGATTTACACCAAGAGTAAAATTTCTCCAGGAATCAAGATGCTTATTAAGCTCATGTCACATTATACAAGAGACAGTTGAACAGAGATACTAAAACACCAGAGTATTCCCCCCAGGAGTCAGAAGTACGAGAGGAGAGAAGATTGCTGCTTAAAACAGGCATCATTCTCTTGAAAAACTATTCCAAAGGTCTGGGGGTATAGCTCAGTGGCACAAGTGCCTGCCTGACAAACACGAGGTCATGAGTTTGATCCCCAGCACCAAATAAAGAACAAGAAAAACTATCCCAGGATATGTATATATCCAATCCAGGAGGGTGGGCCTTTCTGGCAAGCAATTGGCTACAAACATTTATGCCCTTTGACCCAGTGATTTTATTTTTAGGATCCCATCCAAGTAAATGCATACAGATTAAAATAAAATGATGGCCACTGCAACAGAATTTATAATCTAAAAACTGTGAATGTTTCAGTGGTGGA